GAGTGCACAAAGGACGATGATCATTCTCAAAAAACGATCAAATGATTTAGTCATATTGCCAGGCTGTCTATCATGTGATTTCCTATTCAACATCGTAATTTGTTTATTCTCCATTTTAAGCCAGACAGCTTGACATTGTCTGAAGAACACACATCATTTGAGGCAGGGAACGATTTGCTTGACCCTCTTGATCACACACAAAAACTTCCACCAAGGAGAAAAACAAGCAGGAAACTTTTGCAGGCAAAATGCAGGGTTATCATAAAGAAGCTAAACGGACTAACATATTTGCTGAAAGATGTGCCTAGCCTTGAAAATCTTGAGGGTCAACTCCAACACATGTATAAGGAAACGGAACATTTGGTTAAGTCTGACAATGGAATCGTTCTGGAGGATGAGGATGAAAAGAAAAAGAGAAGGAAAAGAAAATCGACGGCAGCGTCTTCGAAATTGTCAAAAAGAGCAAGGAAAGAGAAAGTAAATGTTACAGATAGTCTTCCTGAAAGAAAGTATGGCAAACCTCGTCATCCATATTCTAAACGAGTTGGGCGCCATGCTGAAATGATGAGGAAGCATTACAAGGTAAACGTTCCTGTTAACAATGTCTCCCAAAACACAACTCCAAAATCTGCAAAATGTACTGTTAAAAGTGTAGTAGACTTAACAAGTCTCAAAGGTACTGCAGAAGAACTTGGTTCTGACACGACATGGGTTCCTTCCCTTGGCCTTAGAAAAGAAGATGAAAAAATACTATTTAGTAATCAAGCATGGCTGAATGATAGCATAATTAACGCTGCCCATGATCTTATACACAAGCAGTTTCCAGATGTGAAGGGCTTATCAAGTTCTTTATGTGTGAGCAGCAAGAAATCACAACCATGTCCTATAACTGCCTCCTGTGGTATTCAAATACACCATTCTGGCAATATGCATTGGGTTGTTTCTTGTGTGTCTAAAGGGGAGATAACTGTATATGACTCAATGACACCATCCATTTCATCGAAACTTGCTTGTCAGCTTTTACATGTATATGGCAACACTGAAGAACATCAACCGATAAGAGTGAAAGTCTGTATGTGTCAAAGGCAAATAGGAGAAAGTGATTGTGGCCTTTTTGCAATTGCAAATGCTCTTGCCTTGGCAAAAGGAATCTGTTTAAAGAATATAACATTTTTACAGTCACAGATGAGAGATCATTTGCATCAATGCCTCCAAGAACAGATGTTAACAATGTTTCCTTCCAAATTAACTGAACAGAATGTTTCAAAGTCTTTCATCATTTCATAGGAACTTGTACTGTAATTATATAATTAACCCATCAGTTAACTGGCAATGTTCCATGATTAGCCTGTTTCAGTATCTAACTTAATCTATAATGCCAGATTATTTTACTTAATGAGTATTTTATCTTTTAGTTAGTCAGTTGCAAAAACCTTTTATTGCATTTAAAGCTAATGGGTTAACAATTAAGAGATCATGATTTTACTGATCATGATCACTGATCATGACAGATAATTTTGTTCTAATCAGTAATCAGTCTACAATCATCTACCACTGATGACTAAAATAATCAGGCATTAGATAGAGTGAATACTAATGTAGGGTGTGTGTGGGTACAGCAGAACCACTACAGAGTGAGTAGTTATATCTTTTTCAGTCAAGGTGGGAAAATAAAGTAATGTGGGATTTATATTTGATTTCAGTTTGAAAATACTAAAATATTTCATAATAAACCAGGAATAATAAAGGTAACACACAAGGGATTACAATCAATTGCTTTAGAGAATATTTCAAATCCTTGTGCTGTTTGCAGTATGCTATTAAATAAAACTCCTTATATAAAATACAGTAATATCACTAATATGGAAGGCAGAAAATTAAAGCATTTGTGACTCCATATCGAAAGACGCATACCTTTTCCGTGTTAAAACCACTGATCTGTGGACTGTGGTTAAAACATGTTATAATTTTTACCCTATAAATCATTGCGTGAGTTCGATTGAATAGCAAATAGTCTTTCTAATATAATTATATAATATATAATAACAAAATTTCCATTCATTAAGACGTTCTCGCGCTTACCACGAACACGCAATAAACACGCAACTAGACCCAGACCTCTTACGGTCACCTACCTCTCGTCCATCCCCTTTAGCAACAACCAACACCTTAAGCGCGCCGTGAATTATGGTCTTTGTGGTCACAGAGCGGGAAAATAATTTCAAGATGGCTACTGTTGAAAGTGAGTGTTTTGAAGTTCTTAACTGTCTTTTAAAGGCTGTTCAAGCCAACGAGGATTCTAGTTCTTTTGAGAACTCTTGCACGGATCCTCTGCGGTTGGATAACTCTGAAAGTCAGTGCACTAGTCGGCTTTCTTCGTCGAATTTTACGAGGCCATGTGGAGGTGCTAGAGGTTATACGTGTTGTGTTCCTGGTTGTTCAAGCAACCACAAAAGGAATCCAGAGCTTTCCTTTTATAGCATTCCTAGTGGTAAAAGTGAAGAGTCGAAAGAACTTCGAAAGAAGTGGATTAATCTCATTTCACGTAGGGATTTCTCTCCTACAATTGGTCATAGAATTTGTTCGTTGCATTTTCCTGGGGGACGTAAAACCTATTTAAACAACCTTCCTACGATTGTTCCCAAAGCAACCAGACCTACACCAACGAAACCTTGTTCAATGGTAAAGGCAAGAAATCGGACTCTTGTATCATGTACAAAATCTGTACCTGCTAAACGCAGACTTTTTTCAGAACTTGATGATAACAATAATTCATCACGCTCAATAGAAGAGCCAGATAAAATGGCTACACCTGTAAATGAGAATATTGATCCTATTGCTTGTTTACAAGAACAAACGGAAAAACTTTTAGCAACTAATGAGAAACTTAAGGAGGAGAATGGAAGACTTAAAAATGAAAATAAATGTCAAAAAGATGAGATAAGAGGATTAACAGAGCAACTGGAACAAGAGAGGAAAAGAATACGTTTTTCAATTGAATGTTTTAAGGACAATGACATTCTCATTAGGTTTTATACGGGGCTGGAAGACTACAAAACCTTCAAAACATTGTTTGATTCATTTGGACCGGCAGTGAATAATCTGGTGTATTATGGTACCAAGACTAATTTGGAAAGGTTAAGCTCTGAAGATGTAATTAAACGTGGACCTAAAAGAACAAATTCACCTGAACAGGAATTTTTCCTTGTGTTGGCTCGCTTGCGATTGGGGCTTTTATAAGAAGATATAGCGACCAGAGCTGGGTTGTCTCAATCACATATGTCGAGAATATTTATTACTTGGGTTGACTTCTTGCATTCAAGGTTACGTAGCTTTCCAATTTGGCCATCCAGAAAAGCAGTTGATAATTCAATGCCAGCTTCATTTAGAGATATGTATCCTTCGACACGAGTTATTATTGATTGCACAGAAATATTTATTGAAAAACCAAATTCTTTTAGAAGTCAAAGTGCAACATACTCCACTTACAAAAGCCACAACACTGCCAAGGGTTTAGTTGGCATAAGCCCATCAGGAGCTGTCACTTTTGTATCGGATTTGTATGCAGGAAGATCAAGTGATCAACAAATTACTATTGATTGTGGAATTCTGAACTTGGTAGAAAATGGAGACTCAATTATGGCTGATAGAGGATTTGATATTGAGCACAATTTACCAGATGGAGTGTCACTAAATATACCACCATTCATGCGTGAGAAAGAGCACTTGTCAATTGAAGAGGAAACCAAGACTCGAAGAATAGCTTCTGTTAGGATCCATGTGGAGCGGGCAATTGCCAGAATAAAGAACTTTAAAATTTTAAGTACAGTCTTTCCAATTTCCATGGCAGCAAATTTAAACAAAATTTGGGTGATTTGTTGTTACCTTTCTAACTTTTTACCACCACTACTTGTAGAAAATAACAAGCTGGACTAGATGATAGTTTTTCTGCAATCCTCCCTGCTTTATTATTTATTCGGCCTAACAAGATGATTTTACCTGACATTGACATGGCTGGAGTTAACCTTTTAAAAGGCAACCCTATCAAAGGCTTAAAATTTACCCATAATAAAGGCTAGGTCCAAAACATTTTCACATTAAATCCATTGTAGGCTGTGAAACTTTATTAAACTTTGTGTGTCCTACCCCTTAATGGTTAAACTATTCTTTAACCCATTAAGTGCCAGGGTTTCCCCAGACAAGTAAAATCATCTGGCGTTTGTTAAAAAAAAATAAGTAGGGTGCACTGGGGCACTTTGCCAGTTAATGAGTTAAAGGTATTTGCATCTATTATTTGGAATTTTTAACAGAAATATCCTAGAGTAGAGGGGTAACCTTCACCTTACTCCCAATAAAAGCCTTTGAAACTTTTTAGAGTGTTACAAAACTGTAACCATTTTGTGGCTCATTAACTCTTTAACCTATTAATTAAAGTGGCAATGCACCCCAGTGCTCCCTACTTATTTTTTTGACAAACACCAGGAGATTTTACTTGTCAATGGGGAAGCCCTGGTGCTTAATGTAGTGGTGCAGCCAGCCCAACAAATTAGTCATGCTATGCAAATTTTAACTTATTATTCATTTCTTTAGAAATTGATTGTTTTCATGGTCTATGAACACGAAATTATTTGCATAGCATGACCAAATTGTCAGGCTGGCTTCGCTACTGGCTTAATGCGTTAAGCAGCAATGCACTCCGATGTGCCCTAGTTTATTATTTTACTACATGTCTAATGCCAGATGACTTGTCAAGTAGAGAGTGTTGCCACTCAATGGGTTAAACAACAGTAATAACGTGTTGCTTGAGGACAGGATTTCATTAGTCAATGAAGTTAATCTAGGAAATTAGCTTCTCGAATTATCACAGTTGATACATATACTTTACCTTGCTCCTTCAATATTGTCTTAATTAAGTACTATTTAAAGCATGCACAGGAGTGTTTTATCATATTTAAAATGCAAGTGCGCAGCACGAGCATTTCACATATGATAAAACAGGACTACAAATGCTTTAAATGACCAAAAACATGAATACAATAGATGCTGTCTCATTAGTATTCTTTGTTGCTGATTAGAGTGGACTGTATATAAAGAATACTAATGAAGATGAGTTTTATCAGGTATATAGCCACTTCAAGTGACATATTTTGGTATAAGTAAAAAAGCCAGTAAAAAACAATTGATGTGTGTTTTATTAATGTCATTTACAAGAAGGAAGAATAAATGAAAAGTAAAATGATGTTAGTTCTGGCAGCATTTTGTTCTCCCACAAAGAAATGTCCTTATAGATACGCTGAACATGCATATCAGCATTGGTGTATACCACAAAATCAATCCAGGGTAAATTTAAAATGTTCAAGACACCTTGACATTGATAATAATATGCATGGTTCACTTTAAGTTCTAATCCACTTTCGGTTTTTTAAATAAAAACCTTTGACACTTTGTGCAGCTTCATTAACATTCATTTCTTTCACTGAGTAAGGACACTTAACTTCAATGCATCCAACTGGAATACCATCTTTTATGACAATTCCATCAGGGCTACAACCCAGCCATGGCCACTGGGGACTGATGACTAACCCACAACATGTGACAAAAGCACTGCCTTTTAATGTTACATCTTGATATTTAGCAATTGCATTACTTTCATTATTCAGGCCCCACTGTACAGATGCAGGCACTTTTCTTTTCTCATGATCAACACATAAAATTGATTCAATCAGTGAAGCTGGATGGTTTTTCTTTCTACGATTGATAACTTTGCCAAAAATTGAAGCAGTAAGCCTTTTAGATCGTTCAGCGTACCATTGAGGATCTTTGTTTTGCCTCATAGTACTCAAACATATATCCTTAGCAGTGGATACAGTCAACCCAACTTTTGTTTTTACTAGTTCTAGTTGTTCTGGGCTATAATCTGATGGAGGGGTGTAACCATTTGGCACATTTTTAAAGATCTGATCAACCAGTTGACTTGGTGGTATTTGCGTTGGAATAGGAACAGAGCTGTTGTCCAGTTTTCTATTTTGCAACTGATTACAAGATGTCTCGAAAAGTTCACATGGCTTATAGTTATTTGAGGCTATAGCTTCACGAAATAGTGAAGCGCAATTGGCTTTCTCAAATGCATTTGCCATAGACTTAATTTCTTCTGCAGTCACAGTCCGAGCAAATGGTGGAGTAGCACAATAGTCTTCCCTACTCCCTTTTACAATATACCTTTTGGCAGGTTTGTTCACATCAGCTTTTTCAAATAGCATTTCTTCAAATTTAACAGCTTTGTCCAGGGTCTTTGAGCTTCCAGAGGGCACACTCCATTTTTGAGGAAGTTGTGTGCATGTCAATTCCACAGGAACGTGTTTCAAATTCAGATTGACAAAGTCCAAAATAGTGTACAATAGAGCAGCTACGTGTTTGCAGCAACCTCCTTGGCCAGCCTTACAAGAACACTTAGCATATTCCACTTCACCGTTAACTTGGTTTAAATGAACATAAACAGGATAGCTGATGCTCTTCATGGAAGCACCAACACGCGCTTTCACCACGAATAACAGCTTCGAGGCTTGCACATTTGGCTTGACAAAAGTACTTTTTACATAACCTTCTTTCCATAGTCCATAGCCTTTCTTCATATTTCGATAAGCTTTTGGAGCCATTTTATCAGGCATTGTACGGCTATTTTTTACAAGCTTATTCTCCAGCTTTTCATGAGTAAATCCTGGAAGTTTCTCTAAGCATTTTATCCAATCACGGTTGTCAGAATTGAAGATATCTTCACTTGTTTCCAACTCTACCAGCTTTCGAGGACATGCAGCACCTCCACATGGCCTCGTAAAATTCGACGAAGAAAGCCGACTAGTGCACTGACTTTCAGAGTTATCCAACCGCAGAGGATCCGTGCAAGAGTTCTCAAAAGATCTAGAATCCTCGTTGGCTTGAACAGCCTTTAAAAGACAGTTAAGAACTTCAAAACACTCACTTTTGACAGTAGCCATCTTGAAATTATTTTCCCGCTAATAGACCATAATTCACCGCGCGCTTAAGGTGTTATGACATCATTATGCATAAGGTCTATTTAATTCGATCCCTATCAACAATTCCCTGTGGATGAGAAATCAGAGCACCTGCAGAAAATCCACAACATTTGTCAGGGTGTTGACTAACTTTTTTTATAATGGCTATAAGCACAGCAAACAGACAACTTCAGATAATAAATAAATCTGTCTAAGCCATATAAATTGTGTTGTTCACTAATAATGAACTGGAAGTTAACTCAGTCGGGCAAGCAAAAATTCTTAAACTGCCATGAGTTGACAAATTAACATACAGTTATACTATACCAGTATTACCTTTCCTAAAGATTGTGCCAGCTTAGCAGGTTGTTTTGATTGGGTATTCCTGTGTAAAAAGAAACAAAAAACAAGTACCATAATCAATTTGTTTACTAAATCAAAGCGACTGTAACATAAACTCAGTAATTATAAGCTCCAGAGCTATCTCATTGACAAGTAAAATTGTTTGGCACAAGTACTATATTAAGAAGGTGATTGATTGCAAACAGTCACAGCACCTTAATAAAACCACCAATAGGAATTTGATTTGATAAATTATACAAGTTACTGGTTTTTCCTTTGTAGGCACTAGGCTTGCACAATAAATTGCTTCCCTTTTTTTTATCCAGGGTCACTACTCCATAACCAGCTACCCTGAATATGCCATAGTTGACCTCAGAAGAATTTAAGATGGTTTGAGCAAGCAAGATATTTTCCTGGGCCTGCTCCGCATTTGTCCCAGCTGATACACGGAGCCCTCCAGCACCTTGCCACTGTTGAATAAATGTAAATTAACTGAGCATACCTGTCCAATTGTTTCCTATGGATCTGGAGATCTGTAATATATAGCCCTAGGTCAAAGGCATTAACTACATGCAATATTAGTTACACATGATAATGGTAACCAGTACTGTACATGACATGACACATTCATGCAATCCCTTCATACAAATTACCTTTCCTTCTTGATAGAACTCTTTTACCTTTGATGCTAAGAAGCTGGTAAATTTGTTATACTGTGCATTAGCATACTGAGCCTCTAGGTTGGTTTTTTGAAGTTCCAATAACTTAATTTTCTGGATCTCATGTCATGTGGAATCTCATTTACTTTCACACTAACATTTTCACATGGTGGTTCTTCAATTTTAAGGTTATCTATACAGTATATGAATTCACAGGAGTTAATGAAACATCTTACTTTAGCTCTAAATCCAGACAATTGTACTTGTCAGTGGCAGAGTATTAATGTTCATTAGATTAACTGAACTAACTGGACAGTGTATACAAGTACCTTGTTTACCCATTACCATGTTATGTGCACTTAAGTAATTACTCTGTTCAACCCTAGACAATTTTACTTGTCAATAATAGAGCCCTGGTGGTCAACAAAATTATGTGCCAACATAATTGAGCACTAATTGTATTGGTAAAATTACCTAAAATTTTATAGAAAACTAAATAAGCCCCTCTCTTAATTAAGTTCCCCTCTCTATCAATTCCCCCACAAAAAGGGACTGAAAAAAATATGCCCCCTAGGGAGCTTAATAGAGAGAATATGGTAATATTGAAATTGTGCATGCCTGAGAAATATTATTAGGCAAAACTGTGACCAAAAGCAGCCTTACACTGCACACTACCCATGCTAATAATTAAATTGTTTACATTACATACCTGAAGACACTGTGGTATTAGTCTTCTGTAGTCCATTTTGTATTTTTAGAATCATACACAAGGGCAAGCTCAAATGTTTAAACATGTTATCACTGCTTTCTAGATATGGTTTCAAACTGCAAAATAAAATATTGCACTCATGAATAATAATAGTGTGATATTCATAATTTAGACAATGCACAACTTTAATAGAATTATATGTAATAGTTAAAATAAATTGACCAGATCTCATGTGTAGTACTAATATAAGTATATACATGTACCTTATTTTATGGCAAAATTAAACTGATTTAAAAGCCAATATAGAAAAAGATTGATTAAAGAATGTACACGCCGACAATGCCAAAATACAATATTTGTTTGTAAAATGAGCGCGGGAAAGTTCCCAGGAAATTTAAATACGTAATGGAAGCACGGTCAATGAACTAAGTGCTATATGAAATATGTAGTGAATCCTTCATTGCTATATTCTTTTTTGGATTTTGGAATGAACAAAAAGGATGGACAATCTTAACAAAGAAAACACTCAGGATCGAATATATCAGGTGTGCATAAAATAGAAATTAATATTCATTATTGTTTTGATATATTTCACATCATATTTATATTTCAAGTATATAAATGGACGTATTTTCATGGGTCTATTTATATGGAGCTGAATTACCCGGATGACCAAATTACTTGCTTTGCTGAGAAATATAACAGAAAATTAATTAAATTATAGGTTGCTCGGTGAATTGTTAGTGTGGAGTACCCACTGTTTACTACCCAGTTAACTCACCTTGCTGAGATTCTGGCAGATATCTTGGCAAGGTGAGATGAATGCTTTGCCATGTAAATAATTTTCTTGGGTATCTCGGTCAGCTAGCTGGGTGTAATTTTTGCAAACAACTCCTGCATGCGTTTTCTTTCCAGGGAAAGGTTGGGTTACTTCATTTAACCACAGTGTGTTAAAAATGCCAATTAACTTGCTTCCATATTTAAACAGAACGCATGTTTTCTAGCAAAATAACTCCAGCAGCTGGGTAACTCGCCTTAATAAAAAAACAGAGCCTAAACAAAGGGCTGGGTCTCCGGGGAGCTCCAAATTGTTGCCTTAATATGACAGGTGTTTTGCGCGTATGAGTACTTTTAATATAAGTTCATGTCTTTTATAGTTTTTACAATTATAGACTCTCGAAATTATAACAAGCTTGTAATTGTCGGTTATGTTCTGGTCAATTAAGGGACAGACGGACTGTTCGTAAGCATTTACTAATCACCCATATCGTAGAATTACTGACTCTGGTAATGTGGCCAATTCTCATACAAATGGTGAAGTTGTTCTGCTGCTACTGATAATAGCAGTCATATTACTGATTTTGACAATGGCAAACATAGTCATATAAATTCTGATGATGATGATGCAAGTGATGATAACAGTAATTGTAATGACAATATTATTGGTAGAAAAGATGGTGATGATGATAATGATAATGATAATGGGAGTGATACTAATAGGGGTGATGACATTGGTAGTTGTGGAAGTGATGGTGATGATACTGGGAGGGATAATAATGATGACAATGCTGGTGATAGCAGTGATGGTAATAATGATAATGATGACAGTGATGGTAGCAATGGCAGCAGAAAAGGTGATGATAGTGATAGCAATGATGGTAGTGGTGGTAGTGAAAGTGACAGTAATTGTTCAGGTGGTAGTGGTAATAGTGGGGACTGCAGCAATAGCGATTTTAGTGAAGATGAGATGGAATTGGAGATGGAAAAGTGTATCTTGAGAATACTTGAGGCAAAGATAAAATATGGTTGGTCACAGGAAGAGACATTAGGTCAATTAAGAAATTTGTAGGAATTCACAGAGGATAATTGCATCCCGCACAAAACATGGTTCATGGTAATGAAGTTTTTAAGGAAACTAGGATATAAACATCCGAAACACTACAAGATATGCTGTGGAGCAGATCATGTAACACTTGTTTTGGAAGACAAATGCCCTAATTGTGAGAAAATAAGAGATAAATGTACCGACTATTATGTTCTTGGCTTAAATGTGGACTCTATATTTTTGAATGCAAAAAATAAAGTGATCACTTGGCCCATTGGGAGGAACGGAATGAATGGTTTAATATTGGTAACATCACTGTGCCTTATAAGGAAGTGTGGCATGGCGCACAATTTCGTGAGACTATCCTTCTTTTGGGATGAAGAGAGAGAGATTATTTTGCCAGCCTGTTGCCCAAATTGTTCAAACGTATTCTCATTGGATGAAATGGTTGAAGCAAGTGATGAGAACAGACTTTTACCTAATGCTTATATTGAATTATCGTGCACCGAATGCTCATTTGAATTTGTACACATTGTACAAATGGTGAAAGGAAATAAACTCAACCAAGCTTTTATATTCCACGAAGATGGCTTTAATGCTTTCACCAGAACAACTAGAGGCATTGCAGCAATACATATTAGTAATGCATGCACAAGAAAGGGGTTGAGACTCCATGGCAGAAACCTTTGTGTGTACAGCTTTATACCTTCACATCAACTGAATGAAGGAATCCCGCACAAGATGGATGCTTATCTTCAGCCTTTGATTGATGAATTAACTGAGCTTTTTTTGTTTGGTATTCAAGTACACGTCCCTGAAACCATTGAGCTTTCAAATTTTTCTGTTACTCAAGGGAATTACAGTGTGCGAGCATTACTGTTGCTAGGTACAGCAGATTTTAAGGCTCATCAGGAAATAATTTTGTATGCAGGAGGTATATATGAATTTTATATTATTATCAAATGAAGTT